ATTCTGATTGAAGCTAAGGGCATACAAAACTGTCTAACAGCTCCCACTTGCACTTAGGTCCAATCAGGTACAAGCTGGAGTCCCTTGTTTTCCACGTGTTTCTCAAACACTTTCTGTTATAGTGGCTTGGTCAATGGGTCTGCTACATTTTCCGTTGACGGTACCTTCCGAATCAGGACGTCCCCTCTACCAACAATCTCCTACAGTACGTGGTATTTTCTCTCGATGTGCTTCGACTTCGAGTGGGTTCGTGGCTCCTTAGCCTGAGTAGTGGCTCCATTGTTGTCACACAACAACGGGATGAGTGATGTGCTGGATGGAACTAATACCAATTCGTGAACAAACTTCTTCATCCACACGGCTTTTTTGGCAGCCTCACTTGCGGCAATGTACTCGGCCTCGGTCGTGGAGTCTACAGTGGACCCCTGTTTGCTGCTTTTCTAGCAAACAGCACACGATCCTATTCCCATTGCTGGTGGAATGACATTCCCCCATTTAAGGGAATATCCTCTCCCTCATAATGAAATCCCATTCCAACTGATTTTAATTCTTATTCCAATTCTTATCTAAACTTAACAAACTATAGAAATAGACCATTCCAATTGCAAATCAAAAGATATATAGATTAAGGATTAGAAACCACACTTTCAGAACCACCCTAGGTATCGTCACATGAAGAACATTAAGCTTTAATTGGTCTAGTTACATGCCATAATTGAAAGTTTGAAATGAAACAAAAAGCAAATGATAGATGCATGGTAAAGGTGTAGATCACGTCCTCATTTGTAAAGTCAATTGGTGTTAAATTAATCTGAAACCATTTACTACTGCCTATCTAAAACCCTATTTGGGCATGCATGTGCATGTTTGCATTAAAAACTAAAAAATAAAAGTCCCAATATAAAGAACTAAAGAAGAGCCGATGATGTGTGCATGACCGCCCAGCTGAAGAAGGGAGTGGAAATAGACAATGGTTAGTCTCGTATGGTGTAATCTAGATTTTCTATTCACTTTCTCTTCCCGTTCCCTGCCCACATTACATTGCAGCCGCATATAATATAATACAAAATGGCGATCGTAGTGTAAGCAGAGATCGTAGTTAGTGGGCAGAAAATCCTATTCATGGGCCAGGCTCGAGCTTGGCTTTTGCTAAAACTTGAATGGTCCTGGTCCTGGTCCTGGCCCGAAGCTGAGCTCGATACAATGGAAAGTTAGTCCCAAAGCCCAGCCTGTGAAGATGTCTACTTGATGCACATACGTCATATTTTGAAAAGTATTACTTAGTTTCTTTGATCGGTGATTTAATAAAAATGTGTAAAATGTATTTTATTTTAAGAAATTTTCTCCCTCTTATTATTGTTTTTTATCTTTTTTAGTTGGAGTTATGTTTGTTGAGTTTTCAAAATGATGCATTTATAAAACGAAAGAAGGGTTATTGTTTTAGTATTTGGTTTGGGGACATCACTCACCTAAGCTGTGTTTGGTTTTAAAATAAGTGTAGGGAAACCTATATTCCTTTCACTACCTTTTTCTTTCAAACCAAACACAACCTTAATCATGGGAGGATATGTTTGAATAACTTGAAGTGATATTAGTTTGTCCAAATTCCGAATTACAATACAATCCGGTGAAGACTTATGATCGGATCAAATATGGATCCACTCCTCTCCAATCCAATATGATCCGGTTCAATTTAATTTGAATATGCATGCTTTTGTATTATTAAAAAAAAATTTAAATGTCATGTTTTTATTAAAGAGTCATGGGTTCAAGTTTTAAAACAAGTTGATCCCAATTCATTTTGTTCATGATGTAAAATATCAAAATTATTTTTATTTTGTTTTAGTAATAACATATAATATTTAAATTATACTATTTAAATACCCATAAAAGAAGTCATGGGTTCAATTTAATTCGATCCTTTTATTTGAACCATTTATAATTGTATCAAATAATGGATCTACCCCTATTTAATTTGATTCGATTCAATTTAAATTTATATGTTCAGATATATTTAAAATTTATGTTGTATCTATTAGTAAAGTTGATTTAAATATTGTATTTTTGGTAAATTTTAATTAACTTTGTTTATAAAATATAATATTAAAATCATAATAGTTTTTTTATTAATACAATATATTATTTTGATCGTTTCAAGTTTAATTAATTTTAATACTAATTTACTGTTAGATTCTGATATAATTGGATCTGATCCGGTGGATACAATCCAATTGGAATATAAGTGGATCAAATTTGGACTTACACATACTCGATTCGATTCGATTCGATCCTTTTTGCAGCCCTCCACAATTTTCCTTTTTTTAACGGGCCAAATCAATCAAATAAAAACTAGCGGTTTCCCTTTTTTGTTCTGTCTTTTTGTTTTATTTTTTTATTTTTGTGTTTTTTAAAGAGCGGTCCAAAAGGAGACCCGGGAATAATTTAAAAAATTTTAATAAGTTGGCGGCAACGTGGATGTCTACAGTTATGAGTCGTCAACCACCCGGGTATCTTCAAAGATGCCCTCATCCTCATGGGCGGAATGTCCTGGAGCTGATCTCACGTGCCCCACACATGATGTCACCAAATATAGCTTTGAGCTATCTCTTGCTTCCTATACACCCTAATATGATTGTCGTCTTCATTTGTTATCATTGATGCAAAAAATCTCTGATCGTACATCAGATTAGTCAACTAATCTTGGTCCAAGATATCATAACACTCTAATAAACCTCACTGATTGCACAGCTCAGATTCTTTGCTATCCAACAACAGCACAAATCAAGATTACTCTATCAATTCTTTTTCTAATAAACCTCACTTGCTCCATTTCCTTGTACCCTCCTCTCTCAGACAGACATGTCTCATAAATTAATTTTTAGAAAAAAAAAATAAAAGACATTTTCGTAAATTCGATATCACTTATGGGTATTTTAGTAAATGGAAAATGTTCCAAACCAAAAAAAATCCCAACCCAAATGACAAGATCCATCTTCTCTGTGAACGGCGCAAAATTTTCGAGCTTTCTCCCTCACACCTTCCTCCTTTTAACACAACGTTTCCAACAACAAACAAAACTTCTGTTCACTTCCACCTCGACACTTCCACCCGGCCTCGCCTCGCGCGTCTGACGGACAACCCAAGGCGTCGGATTCCGGCGAGTGGGACTATGTCTCCATGACCCTCTTCCACCCGCAATAATGACCCAAGACCGTTACCGGCGGTACCCATATTTCGAAAACGAAGAAGATTCCAAGAAAAGCGTCGCTGCTGCTGGTGGTGGTGGCGGAGGAACGGCCATGAGAATAATAGTGCCCTTACAGGGGGTGGTTCAAGGCAGAGGTGGCCTTGTTTTGGGCTCAGTCATCCCTTGCGCCTTGTTTTACTTTTTACAGCTGTACCTCAAAAGGAACCGTTCATCCCCTCCTCAGAATCCGTCGTCGACACCTCTTTCGCCTTCGACGTCTTCGGATCAGCTTACGGAGACTTCTGGGTTATATAGGTCTTCATCACGCTCACATCTCTCGCCAAGGGGATCGAGTGGACCGGCTTATATTTCCTCTAGAGCTAATTCACTAGCCAGGTCTGGCGATTCGCCTTACTATGTTGGACTCAAGAAGGTTTCAGAGGATCCTTACGATGCCATGAGTAATCCAGAAGGTGTCATTCAGCTTGGATTGGCGGAAAATAAGGTAGGTCTATTCTTTCTGTTCTGTTCGTCTTGTTTCTGCATCCATTTCCCCCCTTTTTCTATACATGTATGTTAATAAATGTATACGTGAGTTTCTGGTGGTGGCAGCTGTCGTTGGATTTAGTGCAAGATTGGCTTTCTAAGAATGCCAAGGATTCGATAACAGGTGGAGAGGGAAATGGAGATTTGAATATATGTGGAATTGCAACTTATCAGCCATTTGATGGACTAGTGGAGTTGAAAGTGGTAAGGAAGAAATGTTCTCATGTTTATTGATTAAAATGTGTTGGTTGTATTTGTGTTTCAGTAGATCGATGGACTTGTCCTGTGAATTTTTCAGTCTTTTTAATTTTTAATAGGGCTTATATTTGTCTGATTGCTTGTAGTCAGAATTTCTACTTATGTCAACTGGTTATTATATGTCTTTTTTTCCGTGCTTTTGGAATTATCTCTAATTTCTTTTTTAGAAATTATGATTAATTTGCATCTGATAAGTTCAATCTCGTGGACATGTCTTCGTTGTAAACGGGAATTGATGGGCTGAGCATATGTTTGTTCGAGTTCACTTACTGGTTTAGACAAAATAGGGAAGAAAAGGAAAGAGCATCATACTAGCAACCTTTCTTCAATAAAAATTCTGGTTCAGAGATGATGATAGATTTGGTAAAATCTTCTTTATCAAAGAGTGATGGTAATTTTCTTTTTTCTTTTGGGTGTTCATACCATTTGCTGGTGATTAACAACCAGATAATGATCTGAAATGAACTCCACAAACTAAAGGGACACTTGCTCCAATCTTGTCAAGTTTGCCTCATCACTGAGCCTATATAAACCATATACTATGCTTCTTTCTATTTCACATGTAAGGTTCCTTTTTGGGAAGGTTTCTGTTCCCAATAGAAAAACATCAAAATATAACTGAGCTGTCTTGACAAAGCTATACCTAGGAATTTATTGGATGAATTAACCAGTCCTGTTTCTGCATAGAGCACCTATTAAAAATGCAACTAGACCTTCCCTTCAAAATTGTAAGTAGGACCAATTGGGTGAACTATTGGCACTGGGGAAGGCTTAAGCATGGGAAGGAGATTTTTCTCTTCTATAGTTTCTATGGTTAAGTTGCAGGATTCCTTCAGAATGCAATTCCATTTCAAGGATTCTTCAGTTATAAAACTATAAATTCCAACGTGATCACTTGTGCTATCTCCTTTATTATCAGGTCCTTTACATCTATGTCTGACATCATCTATTTTTGGTGGTAGTGCGCCATTCTAATGAGAGGTATATCATTCTTGAGTGGAAATTCTAAAAAAGGCATTCCTGAAGGTGTAGATATTTGACTTTGAATTATTGGAGTGCAAATGAATGATATCATATTTCTCTGTTTGGCGCAAAGCACAAAATGGTAGAACTCATAATTTAACAACAGATATGACACTAAACAGAACAGAATGGCGAAACAGGATTCATATAGCCGACTCCATATAGTTGGGAGAAGGCTTAGATGACGATGATGATAGTAATTCAGGTGGTAGCAAGGGTCGTTACTGGGTTTGATGGTATAATTGGGCTGATAAGAATGAGAAGTTGGATTCAAGTCTGACAGCAGACACTATGTGAACCACAAAAAGATGGAGTTTAGATTTGTAACCAGTCCTACCTCCCAAGACCACACACATAAGCAGGACCAACACTAGTAATCTAATGGTAGCTGACCAGTGTATTGCATATTCTTTGAATAGACAGGATCTTCTATTTACAGGCTTGTTGAAGTTGTGTGCTAACGCTATGTAAGACTAGTTATGAGATTCTCTTATACATGCTAAAGGAATATTTCCATGTCAAATCATTATTGTCTCAAGTGGCACCTGTATAGCAGTTGCCAAGTGGCTCTTGGTGATGTCTACCTAACAGAAAACTACTGTGGCTTCAATGGTTTCTTTTCTTTTATCTTTGTTTTTATTTTTTATTTTATTCTCAACTAGTAGAAATAAGCTTTCTTCGAGATGTTTCCTGTATCATAGTTGTTTCTCAGATTGTTTATTTTTTTACTTGTACATAAACAAATAGCTGAGGGCATAAACAGCATGAAGAGGGCTTCTTTCTGTGAACCATATCGAATCTTAGTGCTTTTACTAATTTTGTTGGTTCTTCAGGCTGTGGCAGGGTTTATGTCTCAAGTCATGGGAGGAGGATCAGTTTCATTTAACCCTTCACAAATGGTATTAACATCTGGAGCTACCCCTGCAGTTGAGATACTCGGTTTTTGCTTAGCAGACAGAGGAAATGCATTTCTTGTTCCTTCCCCATATTATCCAGGGTAATTTTTATTTTCTCCCTTATGATACTGTGATAAAAGTCAGCATTCTTTTCTCATAGCTCCTGAAACTTTACTGTAATCCGTAACTACAGGTTTGACCGAGATATAAAATCAAGAACTGGGGTGGAACTGATATCTGTTCCCTGTCGCAGTGCTGACAACTTCAATTTAAGTATCGTTGCTCTTGATCGTGCATTCAACCAGGCAAAGAAACGAGGAATAAAAGTCCGTGGAGTTCTTATTTCGAACCCCTCAAATCCTGTTGGGAATTTGATGAGTCGGGAGATGCTGTCTGCTCTTCTAGACTTTGCTAGAGAGAAAAACATCCACATTATCTCTGATGAAATATTTGCAGGGTCAACCCATGGAACTGAAGAGTTCATTAGCATGGCCGATGTTCTTGAAACAGAGGATTTTGACAGGAGCAGGGTCCATATCATATATGGGTTATCCAAAGACCTTTGTCTTCCCGGGTTTAGGGTGGGGGTCATCTATACTTACAATGAGAATGTTTTAGCTGCTGCTAAAAGATTGGCAAGATTCTCATCCATTTCAGTCCCCACCCAGCGTCTTTTAATCTCTATTCTCTTAGATAATAGATTTATCAAGGAGTTTTGTGTGATCAGTAGGGAAAGGCTTCGAAGAATGTATTTGGCATTTACAGAAGGGTTGAATCAGTTGGGTATTAAGTGCACAAAGAGCAGCGGGGGTTTCTATTGTTGGGCAGATATGAGTGGGTTAATCCGCTCCTACAGTGAGAAGGGGGAGCTTGAGCTGTGGGAGAAGTTGTTGAATATAGCTAAGATCAATGCAACTCCTGGATCATCCTGCCACTGCATTGAACCTGGATGGTTTCGGTTTTGTTTTACTACATTAACTGAAAATGATATTCCTGTAGTTATGGAACGGATTCAGAAAATTTCTGCAACCTATAAATCTAGTAGTTGAATGCATTTGTTATTTAATATTCAAGTTTTGCCCTCATATCACCTATAAATATATGTTTGGTGAGCAAAACTGATTTAAATGATCTTCTCATTTGCAGGTGCAGAAACGGCTTCTGAATCAGAGTCTATGTACAAAAGCAAGTTGTTAAGCTGCATTAGAGTTCTTATAGATTTTTCTTGAAATTTAACTGCATTTTAGAACTTGTTTACATTGCCGGGTCAGTGTCCAAATTCCAAAGGAGAGGACGAAGGTCCTGGTGATTTATAAAAGAGAAATGATAGAAGAGCTGATATTCAGGTGGATTGTAATAGTTGTGAAGTAGCACGTTCCTCAGCTATCCCAGCTGCAGTGCGTGCCTTTGTTGCTTCATATGCAGTCCATCTATTGTATTCTCACCGGTGCCAAAGATGCAGTATCCTAATGCACTCTTCTTTATGAATTCCTGATACCATCAAAATCAAATCAGTCAAGAATTAGTAATTGAGGAAGGTTGGTTAAACTTTTTTGGGCAAAATAATTTGTGCTGGGCATCCAAAATATTCCATCCCCTCCTTTGGACAATGGTATTGAAATTATTACGCTCCAAGTCTCGCAGTAGTAGGCCTGGCCAGGCCTTACCATCGGGAAATGATAGTTGTCTGATACCTGCAACCTTGTTAAGTTCTGAATTGCAGATTTGATTTCATTTGGTAAAGCTAACAGTAGTAAATTGTTTCTTCAATAGTGAAATTCTAAAGCAAATACTTATTTGTGAGCATTGGGTGGTCGGGAGAATTACCATGGCAAGACCGTGCTTATTCGTGTGAATGGTGTTCCTCCTGTTACTTCTTCTGCGGCTCATCAGCATCAGTTCCCCAAGTGTTGGTGGCCTTCTGGCTATAAGGCTGCATTTACTTTCGTTCCTGGACTGTTGGGTTGGTTGTTCTTGAGTGTGAGGGAAGTTATTTTCACGACAACCAGCCTTGTCAAGTAAACTGGAACATTGTGAAATTGATGGGAAGAGGCACTCTAGCATAGAAGCGCCCTCAAGGCTGGAGCTTCCAGTTGCATAGCTACTCGAATCATCATCTGGTTCAGAAGTGGTTGATGTGGGTGTTTCGTGTCCGGCTCTCCCCTTCACCAGAGTCTGATTCACCGGAATTGCAGTAGAAATTGCTGCCGTTGGTATAAGACGATTTGCTAGGAGAGGAGCCGAGCTAAAAGGGTCATCTGTCTCAAGGCCAAAACTCTCAAGATCTGAGTCAAATATCCCTTGACCTACATACCCTCCCTCCAACTCGTAATCACCATTTCTCCTTGGAAACATGATTCCCAACCTGTTTGGAGATGAGCCAGGAGAGTGTAGTGAAGGGGAAGCAAAATCAAAGAGCTTTGCTGGAGAAAGTGGAAGAAATGGTGAATGCAGATGTGGCTGAGTGAAGCAAGCAAGTGGTTTTCCAGGCTGTTCCTCCCATTTGAAGGGAACTGATGCAATAAGCTTCACTGGAGCAGGAATAGCACTTACTGGAACAGCCTCAGGAGGCTTCCACTTCCACTCTCTTTTTGGTGTTCCTGGCATTTCTTCCCAAACAAAAGGAATGGAAACTTGTTGCCTCGCCTGCTGCCGAGAACAGGCCTGAGCCTGAGAAGGCTCGGTCTCTGTCTCTGTCTCTGTCTCTATCATTCTTGAACAATAGACTACAATCCCGTATTCATCCTGGGGTATCACCCCATCACCATGTTTATAAGGAGTGTAGTCAACTCAGAAGTGGGTTAGCTATTCTGCAACTAATTCAACATGTTTTGGTCCACGTCCAACTGCACCATATGACGACATACGTGGGTTTGGAATGTTAACATTTCTCCCTCTGGAGCCTGGACCTTTTGATATTCATATTTTCCCCCTTTTGGTAACAAGTTTGAGACTCAAACACAGTAGCAGGAATTAGGTTAGAACTTGTTCTTATTTTAATTGGCCACCGAAATTCATGAATCAATATTTTATTGCACAATGGAAAATGCCTATGAACAACTGATATTTGATAATTATAACTATAAAAAGAATTAAAAACAAAGAATTTCTTTTCATTTCCCCCTTTTATAAAGCTTGTTGAGACTTGGGGGTCGCTCATATTTTCTACACCAACCCAACAATCAGTAGCTGTAGAACCTCCCCTCCCTGCTCCATTCTCCTACTAATCCACTTCTTTAGTGGGACCCCTTATCTTTTCTCCATCCTTTTGCCCTTTTGGTAAGTAGTAACTATAATACTGTACCAGATCTTATGGACTCCAGAACCTGAACCACCTCTGCCATGTTTGGTCTCTTTGACGGAATCTCAGAAGTACATATCAGCCCCAATCTCATGACCTGTGTCATGGTTTTCAAAACCGGACTGGATGGTTGGACCGGAAAAACTGGAAACCGGCCAAGTGATTGGTTCCGTTTTTCCCCAAAATCAGATTTTCTTCAAAAATCATTGATTTTGGTCAGCAAATCTCTGACCTTGACAATTAACCATTCGAACCGTTTGAACGGTTTTGACCGTTTTTAATTTTTTTATTTTTTTTGTCAGAATGGGCCGAATGTTCAACCCAGGAACCGGACCCCTGACCAGTTCGTTCTCCAGGTCGATTTTAAAAACCTTGACCTGTAACTCGTTTTCTGCTAAACCCTTCAAGCTTCGATCAAAGCAAATCCGAAGCTGTGCCGTTCTATAATAGTCTCCGGACGTATTCACACAAACCCACCACCTCAGTTGCTACTGGACTTTCTACTAGTTTTCACCCTGTGACCAGCTACAATAAGATCACTCCAAAGCTATAGACATCGTATTTGTCAATGAATCTTGGGCTTTGGCAAGCTAGCTCTGGTTTACAGTCATGGTGTGGAACTTGGTCAAGCCAGAGTTACCCAACATGGGCAGAAGTTTGCCCAGTCCATAATCAGATAACTTTGCTTCATATCTTTCATCTAAAAGTATGTTGGTGGACTTGATACTGAGATGTAGAACTTGGGGTTTACAGTCATGGTGAAGGTAAGAAAGGGCTCTTGCAACCCCAAGAGCAATCTGGAATCTCCTAGGCCAGCAGTATAGGTCATTGCTTCCACTACTGCTGGTGCCTGGATGGCTATGTAGGTGCTGATACAGATTACCACTGGAAACGAACTCAGATAAGATTAGCTGCATGGTAGATGACCAGTAGTAGCCATGGAAGATAACCAGATTGGGGTGTCGAATGTTGCTTAGTCGTCCAACCTGCTCAAATTTTATCTTGGTTCCTGATTTTTCCCAGCGTCTCGAGTTTCTTCATCGCAATTGAGATCCCACATTCAAAGCTGGTTTTGTAAACAGACCCAATCGACCCACCTCCGATCAGACAATCTTTGTCAAGTATAGCTTTGGTGCCTGCTTCCCAATCCTCGTACCTTGGTGACAAGCTTTTGCTGAACAGAACCAGCTTCCCGATGATGATGTGCTGAACAGAACCAGCTTCCCAATCCTTGATGGCAAGCTTTTTCTTCTCCTCTCCTCCTACGAACCCTGGTGTTCATGAAGGTGATCACACAGACACCTGTGATGATCATTGCAGCAGCAACAATGGCCACTATGGATGAAACACTCAACACCCTGCTTTTTCCTGATGTTGATGCAGTGGCATTGGTACTGGCAGAGCAGGGTACGTCCAGAGGAGAGCCACAGAGCCCCGGGTTGTGGAAGAAAGTGAGGCGCCAAACAATTGGATATGGCTAATTGAAGTTGAAGGAATGGTGCCAGTGAGGTTGTTGAAGGAGAGATTGAAATGAGTTAACAATGTTACGTTTCCAAGTGAGTATGGGATTGACCCAGAGAGCAAATTCTCCGGTAGATCAAGCAATTAGATCCGAGACAGCTCTCCCAGGCTGACCGGAATGCTTCCGTTCAGCTGGTTCCGGTGTAGGTCAAGGATTTTCAGGTATGTCAAGTTGTAGAGGGTCGCAGGAATTTCTCCCTGTAAGCCATTACCCCAAACGCCCCTGCAATTAAGAACTCGAAATCTCAATGTCTCAATTCAAAGAAATATGGATACACAGATTAGATTGTTAGAGAGGTGTAGGACTCACAGTCTAGCAGAAATATGCAGTTTCTCAATTCAAGGATTTTGCCGTTTTTATTTTTTGTCAGAACGGGCTATTTGTTCGGTTTGAACGGTCGAACTGTTTGACCGAGAACCTGACCTCTGAACGGTTGATTGTCCCATTTCTTTTTTAAAACCTTGTTCGATAGAAATAGAGGGGACCTCATTGTGCATCGCGGGCTGGTCTTGCCCCTTGTAACTGCACCATCAACACGTGTGTTGTTGGTGGTGTTGTTGACGGGGTTGCTGCTTGAAGATGTCATTGAGTCTAGGATTTTAGAGAGGTGAGAACTAGGCTTTTGTGTAGCGAGTTCTCACAAATGACGTCAATTGGTGATGCGCGATCTGGTGCTCTCTACTGGCAAACAGCTCGGACACCAATCTGAGTAGGTCGACTAGCTAAGTTGCAAAAGAAGAGATCAGAGTATCTGAGTTGCTTTATCCAGTGTGGGCACTCCTATGCTTAAGTCAGCGATGAATTGTGAAAATCGAAAAGATTGAGAGCAAGAGAGTTGTTAGTGCTGAATCATGCGTACTTCTTATCTGGAAGGGGATGCCTTTATATAGGCATGCTGCCTTGAGCTTCATGAAGTGAGTTGGAGATCTTCGACCCATTTAGTTCGGAGGTAGTTTCACGCCCAGAGGTAGACTCCGCGTAAATGGAAAGTGCTTATCCGATAACGTCCGGAGCGGGCAAGGTGGTAGTTAGCTCCAACATCGTGGCATCGTGATCCCAAGAAGGCAAGAAGCGGTAGCTTGCCCGAGGAGGAGGTCATTCATTGCATCAAATAGGCCATTGGCTAAATCTTCATTAGGTCCACGGAGTCGAGTCACTTCCCATGCCAACCTGTCGTCAACCAACCTATTTCCAATCTGACCTGCCGAGGCTAGGTCGCGTATCTACTGGGTCAGCGGAGGCAAGTCGCCTCACACACCGACCTGACACTGGCCGATTTAGCTACATGCCAACCGGTCGAGGTTGGGCCGTGGAGTCAGCGATGGATGCGAGGTGCCTGTCATATTTCTGAATCTTGCTTATGTGGAGTTGAGTTGTCATCCATCAAATTTGTGAAGCCACGTGTCGGAATGTCACTGAAGGGCCGAATCACTCATCACCTAATGTATGGCTTTGAATGAAAAACATTGTTCTTCTGTCACTCCTATTTTTCATTCAAAATTGAGAATTCTTCCACCCTGATTTTTAACTAAGAGATGAAAAACGGGCTCAGAATATAGAAAAAAAAAACAAAGAGTTGGAGAGGATAACAAAAGTCCAAAACAAAAAAAGAAGAGATGGTTCTCAACTTCTGATAATAAAGACAAAGTGATGTAGGAGAAGTTCAAACATGATAAATTTGGTTTCCTAGTAAATGTGATGTAGCATGGCATTAAGGTGGCATTTGATAACACTTTTCATACCTCTTAAGTCTGAAAATGTTGCTTTTCAGACGTCAGAGGTGTTTGGAAGTATATCTAAATTTGGGTCTAAAAATTATTTTTAGATATTAAATAATAAGACTTGGACTAGGCGCTAAACGCATTCAGACCTGGCCGAAAGTCCAAAATACCTTAAAAAACATGCTTGTGTTTCTCCCTCTCACCGTTTATCTCCTCCACTTGATGCAGTGGCGAACCAGCAACGGCAAGTGACTCAAATTCACCGAATAGTCTAATTTAATGGCAAAATAGTAAAATTAATAAATTTCAGATGCTGAAGGTTCGATCCATCACAAACAACCTTCTATATTTAGAGCCTCTAAAAAGTCAAAAACAATTGTCTCTTTTCAGATTTAAGACACTTTTAATATCTTTTTAATTTTTTAGATTTCATATTTCAGATTTCAGATTTATCAAACACCACCTAACAGAGGCCATCAGACGTGGCCACTAACAGAGAAAAAAAAACTCAAAAAACGAAAAACCATAATCAATTTATTTGTGTCTATTTTGGAGGGCTTCTAGCGTTGCCTAGTCCTTAATCCTTAGATCGAGAGCTATTAATAGAGGACTTGTAATCGGATTGAATTTGGATCAGATCCGATTCTGATCTGATTATGGAAAGCTTGCATTTGAATCTAATCAGATTTAAAGACCTTGTATTCAAATTGGAATCCTAACGGATTTGGGTCGTATTCGAATTTAATCCGACTTTGCTTTAATTTTTTAAAAACCAAAAAAAAAAGTAAAAAAGGTAATTACTTTTCAACTTTTATATATAATAAATTAATGCAAATAAACATATTGAATTTATTATATATATAATATAATATAAAAATATATATTTTTATAATTATAAATAATAATTAAATAAAATTTATATATTAAACTCAATAAATATTATAATATAAGCATATCCATATTTTAGTAGAATTGGATAGAATCAAATCCGAATCCACAATTATTAATCAGATTTAGATTATAAAATATGAATATAATCCGTTTACATAAACACATTATCTGAATATGAAATAATCGAATTGGATGTCAGATTGGGCATCAAATTTTTTGGTATTATTGGCAAGCCTAGCTAGAAAGTCATATTTGGTGATAGGAATGGCAACGGGTGGGCTTGCAAAAATCCCTGCCCTTGTTCCCATCAATGGGGACAAGGTTATCCTCATTCCTATTCCCATTGGAGATCCTCGTGACTTTTTATAATGTCAACCATTTTGTTTTTGTTTTTATTTTATTTAAAAATTTAAAAATAAAATAGTTAAAAATTACAATCTTATTAAAAAGGTTCAAATATATTCAAACATGTTCAACCATATTTTTAAAAAATACTAATATACATACGTGTGTGTGTGTGTATTAGTAGAAATCCCCATTGGACGGGGATTAGGGTCCTCGTGAGGTGGGGAGTACTCTCTATCTCCGCCAACAGGGATGAAAATTTTCCCATCCTCATCCCCACCCCATTCAGGATAGATCCCCACAGGGATCAAGGAAATTGCCATCCCTATATGCTGAAAAAATAGAAAACCAAATTATCCTTACATAAGTTAAGAAATCAATCCGGTAAAATTATTTTTGCTATCTCATTTAAAATGGCTCTAGGGTTGGTTTGATCAGTTTATAGAAAACCAAGTAACTCTTTACCTTAGTCTCGGTTTGATTTGAGCCCACAACCCAAGAAAATTGATCTGTTTAGAATTCAAACGTCTTCTTTAGAGTAAATAACTAAATATTTTATTATTTTGTTAATAGTTTTTTCCTAGGTTCTTTTGTTAATAGTTTAGTCAATGAGTAGAGAGTACAGCCTATACACCCCTAAAAAATATAATATTATTACTTTATAATTAATTATTAATCTCTCTTTCTCTCTCAAAACAATATATTATTATTATCATTTTTAAAAGTAAATCAAGAATAAATATGAGATATGAGAGAGAACTAATAGGTTTGACTTTTGATGGAGAGACCAATTATGCCTAGGGACTAGGGGTCAAGTGACTTCTCACTTATACAATGCATAGGGGCTCTGTGTAAGGCATAAGGGTGACTTCTCATTAACTACCTCTTACGAATTGGGAAATGAGAATTGAGACATGGGAATGGTTAAACTAAGGTCACATGTATTATTAACATGTACTCGATTCGGTTTTATTTCGATTTACATATTTATAAACCGCAATCAAACCATTCAATCAGACTTATTTCTAAACCAAAATCGCCCAGCTTATTTGAAAACCAACCACATCGGTTCAAGTTGGTTTGATCAATTTTTACACTAGTGTGAACAACGGTAAGCGGCTGTCCTTTCAAACGGGTTCTTTGTGCAAATGGCTTTCAAAAAATTCACTTGTTAAAACTTAAAAACTATCTGGGTCTTAAACATACAATGACTTTCTCTTCTCAGTGCTCAAGTCAAAAAGATTAAAAAAAAAATTCAATTATTAAAATTTCTATTTCTAACCATTGATAAGCTCATATCCCAATAGACAATAGCTTTTCTCATATTTCATATAAGCCATTAACATAGATGCTTCAAACATACTCACACTTTTTATCCATACATGTCCCTAAAACATCTCTCTCTCTCAAAATATCCTTTTCCATTCAGTAGTAGTTCTAGAAACTAATCAGACAAGAAACAGAAAAAAGCTGCTGGGCTTGAGAGCTGACAGTCCACCACAATTCAGTCCTACGGAGAACGGAGATATACCATTCCACCAACTTCTACGTTCAACAACTATGAGATCATGGATAGGAATAGGATATGGGAGTTCTTCATAAGCCAATCAATATTTAAAAAACCTTCGAGATTCTCATATACTTTTTTTTGGTTATTATCAATAAACAATAACAAACCGGTCAAAAGAATTCTTGGTCACATACGGATACGAGTGTAAGTAGAGAAGAGATAGAACCACCCCCAGGACGAGCACTATAGGCAGGAGGCCTGGACATTGACGACAGCAAAGTCTGACGCCAGGAACAGGAAAAGGAATAAAATCACCCAACCCATCTGAAAGCCTGAAACCCAGGGCAAGGGTCTCCCCAACAAAGAACTGAAGGAGTCACAAAGAGTATCCTCCCTCCTACCACTTCCCTAGTCCCTACCAAGGGCAAGGAGTGGGAAGGGAAACCAAACCTAGACCCACATTCCCACACACTTTTGATTTGTTTTCTTGATGTCTGTATCTGTATGGCATCCTAGTTGACTTCATCCGGACTTGGTCATCACACAACAATTCAACAAGACCAAATGGAATTCGCCCCTTTCTAACCTTGTAAATTATGCTTTCTCTCTTTCATTTTCTTTTCCTTTTTTCTACCCACTTTCCCAACAAGTCAGTAACGTTCACATCTACTTTGCTATTAAGTTTTCTGCTTTTCATACACTAATATATTAATGTCATATATATACACTTGCCTGTATACCCCCCTCCCCCCTCTCCAAACAAATTGACGTGGCATCAGCAACTCCCCATCCCGCTCCTGTCAGTTCCAATCAAGTGAGTGATCACTCAGTGATGTAGAAATATATCACTAAGCACATAGTAGCACTTGGTTTAGACACGGCTCGACAAGGCATGGCCGGCAGACACCTCTCCGGCTATCAAATCTAATGCCTACTCTAACAATGGTACCTCTTCTTTCCTAAGTTTCTTGAGTTGGCGCTTTGCATATAGTGTGATGGCTACGGTCACGGCAATTGTCCCACAAAACCCGGCAATGTTGAGGATGGTCTGCTGTGTTGAGAGGGACCTCTTTTCATGTGCAGCATCCGCCAACGTCCTGATTAGAATACCACTGTTGCAGAGAAAGTTCAAGTCAGCATAAAAGGAGCAATATGTTCGTTTTTTATCCTGATTATTAAGGTTATTAGTTTACATAAGGCTGTCAATGAGTTGGCTCTAGCTAACCAACCAAACCAACCGATTATATTGGTTCTGGTTCTGTGGTTTTTTCCTGATTGTTAATTGGGTCAGTTCTGGTTCTTGCTTATTTCCAAACTGATTAAGTGGTACGTTTGATATAAAATATATAAAACAATGTTAGTTAAAAACACGATATTACTGTCTATTGTCACTATAATCTCTCTCTCTCTCTCTCTCTCTCTCTCTCTCTATATATATATATATATATATATTCTAGCTGTTTACTAAATATGTATAGTTCCATTTTTCTATTGATTCTCTTCTTTTGATCTGAAAATCTGGGTTCTACGTCTTGTTTGAATCCATTAATCCTTTTCCCCGATTAAACCCTATACTGAGAGTCTGAGACTATTCAAAGTGTAGAGAGAACATCCATACAAAAAGGTTCAGAAGTTTCTCCTACAGTGAGACTATTCAAAGATGCAATAACAAACCTATACATCATCTTCTCTAATGTCCAAGCATTCCAAAAATATTCTATCAACAGTGTGGTGTCAGACTCAGACTGGACAGAAAGCCAGAATGCCGATTGGGTCATTGTCACTGGTCCAACTATCTGGTCCACCCTGAGTCTGACAAACAATGACTTAGACGTCAAGCATTCTAGTCCAAGATAATAAGAGAACATCAGCATATATTGACTTGGAAATTTAAAGAAACTCTATACAACGTAGTTCACCCAATGACTCGATCAAATGATTACATTTTAGTTTTCCTAGCACGGCAAAGGGCTCATAGGAAGCAGCTATTTTGGGCCGAATTGTAATGTGAGCTAGTTTGTAAGCTAATGGGTTGCTGCCTTGCTGGAATTTCTCTCTGTAATCTGCCTTGAAACCCTTAGAAGAACAAAGAAAATAAGGAAAGAAACTTTGGTCTAAGGAATGGAGGAAAAAAATAGGGTTCAAACAGAGGAGAAATTAATCGCGACTCTGCTTATGAAAAATAAGAGTTAATTGAGACTCACCCTGTAGATCCATTTTATGTATTAACTTTCAAATAAAGGAGAAATTACATTTGTGCCTCTGATTACTATAAGGCTAAAGTAGAGAAGGAAGAAGACACACCTGAATCAAGACGTGAATGGGAGCTGCACCAAACATGTCAACTAAGGTACAGCTGCACCAAACACATCAACTAAGGTATAGTTTAACTCACCTGAATCAACTACCACTGTTACCAACCTCCAACTAAGGTACAGTTGCCCCAAACACATCAACTAAACAACACAACACATTGAAAAATCACTGTAACACTTCACATGAAGAAAATAACCCCTCTTTGAACTGCTGATTAGAGGGTGTCTAGAAAACCACCAACAGCACACAAACTGGAATAAATTTCCCCAAGGCTGTGTTTGGTTGCAATGCAAATAAATTTGCACTGGTGCAAAACCATGGCAGTGCAAATGATTTGAGAGTAAATTCTGACCTATTTTTGTTTGAAATTTTAGCTTATTTTGTTTGATTGCAGTACAAATGAAGTAAATTAAGGCATGAAGAAGAATAAAGTAAAATCCAAAACGAAATCAAACAAGAATTTGCATTTTTTACATTTGCACTCTCATACATTTGTACTAGTGCAAATAAATTTGCACTGCAACCAAACACAGCCTTAGGGATGATCAGTCCTTTTGCGTCCCTTTTCCTTCCTTCAACAACATATAGAGTGGGTTTGAAATAAGAAATAATAGAAAAGGGTGTCTAGAACGAACCAATAGATTACAGGTGCTCTTATACCATGTACTCTGAAGAAGGAAAGAAACAATAGAAAATAAGGAAAGAAGCTTTAGTCTAAGGAAAGAAGAAGAAGAAGAAGAAGAAGAAGAAGAAGAGTCATACTCTCAACCTGTTGACCCATCTTTTATTAACTTTCAAATGAAGGAGAAATTGCAATTGTATCCCTGATTACAATATGACCAAATAGCCAACCCCATATAGTTGGGATGAGGCTTGGATGATAATGGTGATGATTATTGATTACAATGAATAACTTTTTAACACATTGAGGTCAATCAGCACTTTATTCATAAGAAAGTTGCTTCAAAGGAAATTTGTCCTCCTTATGCAAAAACTGCTTATAAGCTAATAGATGTCTTGACCAAATCTATCAATAAAGCACCATTGTTTCATGTTCTTGACAAGATAGGAATGCTAGATGTCCATGTAGCAGCCTAATGAGTTCTGATAGAATGTGTTAAGTGTGGGATAGTTAACATATAAGTGGGGAGGCATGGGTCTCTCTACCTTTGGTCTTCAAGTTCCTTTTGCTAGACCCTAGATATCTTACAACTTTTTGCAATGTGGTGTCGACTAAGCACTTAAGGTTCCTAGGTTCAAAAATTTGACATGATGTGCCTTGTATTGGGCATATCATAGCATACCAGCAGGTGGCTGAAACAGCTTTTTAAGGCATTTTAAGGAAACATTGTTTTTAATAGTTAAATAACACCAAAGGGGACCTCCTTTGAAAATTTGAAAAACACCTAAAAAAATATGATGTGTGAGGTTAAAAGTACTTATATACCCCTTCCGGCATATAAGGGTGTATCAATACTATTAACCTTGAGTAGAACCAAACACTTCAATGACAAAAGAAAGGGGAATTGGTGGAAGAGATGACCCAGAGAAACATGCATTTTGCCATGGAGCTGAAGGTAGGGTGTTCATGTAGATGGGATGGAGGGGGAGTACAAATGTGTACATAGGCATAGGAGAATGTTAGTCCGCAGGCTGTAGGGATGATTAGGGTGCATGGCATAGGCAACAATCAAAGACTATTTTAGATTTGGGATTAATTTCATGCAGAGGGGGAGGAAAGTTTAAGATTATTTAAGTTATTTGAAAAATAAAAATTATAGTATTGTTTAAGTCAGTATAGGAACTTTATTAAGTTAGCATATTATCAAAGAAGTTAGGGGCTATTGCTTGGTGTAACAGTAGAACCTCAGGGGGATGACAACAATGAGAATGCACTTTTTAAGTATGAGAGCTGCCGCTTTGTGGAAAAAAAACAAGAAGAAGAAAAGAACAAGGTCAAAGGTTAGGTCAGACAGTCCACCCCTCCGAAGACCCCAGATAACCGGGACTGGCATTGGATAATGGCCTTCAATATGAACATGGAAGCTACTTTTAAAAACATTCCTAGCAATTTGCATCTGCGGGAGGTTGAGATGTTGGGTTTAAGAATGTTGAAGGTATTTAACAAACAATATAATATTCAATGTGGCTATGAGATTTTGTAATTATACATACAATTCCTCTGGTCTATCTTGGAAGATATCCTAGGAACATAAGAAGATGATGATAGTGAGGCAACTGAACTAACAAAGCCTTATCTCAACTATTAAGCCACAATGTTTAGCTACCTTAATCTTCATGAAGAAAAACTTAAAGTTGTGCGTCATGAATTCAAATTTCAAACTTCACAATTGGGTAGAAGCACAAATCCAATTACAAAGTCCTTCAAATGCTCCAAAAGTAGAACATCAAGCAATTGCTCTAATCAAAGCAAAGAACAATGTTATAACTCCTTCAATTGCAGTTCCTAAAACTAAGGATGTCACAAGTAAACTTGGGGAGCATGACCAATGATTTAAAAGTCGCGCCCAGGCGCACAGGCAAGGCACATTTTGGGGTATGTGCCTCACCTAGGTCCTAGGCGCACCCCTTTCGCCTGATGCGCCTTGCACCTCAGCCCAGGCGTGCGCCTCTTTAAAATTTTGCACTTTTTGCTTTTTTGAGTCTAATGGCTGGGCTGGGGGCTCCACCCCCGAACCCCGACCACGCCCCTCGAGGCAAGCCCAAACAAGTCTATGTTAGGGTTTGAAATTCTTATTTCTCACAGAAAAAATAATGATTTTATAACTTCCATTGCCTTTTAAGAAGATATTTTATTGCAATGAATGAATGAACAACATTAGCAAATAGGGGGTTCTCGGATTTTATAACTTTCATTCATTCATTGCAATAAAATATCTTCTTAAAAGGCAATGAAAGTTATAAAATCATTATTTTTCGGGCTTGCCTCAAGCGGCGTGGTACAGAGGTGACTCATAGAATCAAGAATGCAATATGTTTTACATCACATTAGCTACTTGAAACAATGCAATTAAGGAAAAAAAGTGATTGTGGGTTTTACATGCTTGAAAATGCTTTATATGTTTGCTTTTATTTTTAAATTTTCATTTGAATATGCTTTACATGTTATACTTATGTATTTTAATTTTAGATAATAGGTTTTTTTAAAACATTCATTTTAAAATTTAAGTTTATATTTTTTATTAATATTATGTTTAATATTTTTTTGCATTTTTTTTTAATTTTCTGACTTTTTTTTACTTTTAGCTTTTTTTTGTAGTTTTGCGCCTTGCTTAAAAAGGCGCGCACCTTGCATTGTGCCTTAGGTGCAAATTGGCCCTTGCGCTTTTTTTGCGTTTTGTGCTTTTAAAACACTAAGCATGACATAGGATCCCTAGCCTACGACCTGTCAATAGGTAATGGATCAACCTTCACTGTAACTATATTAAAATTTGTGTGCTTAGCATTTCATGTTTGCAAGGATTTGGAGGTAGTGGAGAAAAGCATACCTGTAGATTGTAACAAAAACTTCAGGCACCACTCCCACCAATGATCCCAGTATGTAAGGGCCATACTTAACATTTGTTGCAACAACAGCATAATTGAATATAATATATGGAAATGGAGAAATCCTCAGTAAGGTAACTGCTCGAAACTGATGAAACCAATCTCCTGCACCAGCTAATCTTATAATTGCAGCTTTTTTTGGTGATTTTTCCAGCCACCTCTGCATTATCATAGAGGACATTAAACTAAGATATGCAATTGAAAAAGAAAAGAAAGGACATAAAGAAAGATCTGGTTTGCTATTAAAAGAAATTTGTGACAACAAAAAATACTAACCTGAATTTTATGATGAAAACAGGAACCAATGAAATATGGCAATGACACGCCCACGGCCACCCCTGCTATAATTAACAGGAAGCCAAGACCATAACCAAATGTAATCCCAGCCACCCACATGGAAGGTGAAGATGGCAACAATAGAGTAGGGAATAATGCTATAGAAACAAAGAGTATAACTCCAAGCACTGGTGGGCTGAATGTTGTCATCTCCCAATCTAAGATCGGGATAACCACCTGTCAAAACACCAAAAATCAGGGCATTAATAACAAGGGAGGGGAACAAAGAGTGCAAGAAGAAAAGAAAGAAAGAAAGCATTCCCATTGCAATTTGTTGAAACAAACACCAAGCAACCAAATGCCAGTTGATATTGAAGAATAGATACCAAATACTGTCTAATATCAACCATACCACATTGAAGCATCAATAATACATCACAAAAATTAATTTTGATGCATCTATCAACCAAAGCAGAGAGGCAACAACGGGATGCATAGCAAGAAACTAGTTTAGGGAGCACTTGCGCAACAAATTCGGATCAGTAGAAAGATCAACAATCACATGTGCTAAAGCTGGAGCAACTAATGGAAACTCTAATTTTGACAATGGAAGTCGATTACAATGAAGCAATGGTAGAAGACAATTCCAAAGTGGTGATTGAATGAGTCGATGGAAACTATGAAACTTCATGAACAATTGTCAATATCATAAACATAAAGGATATCCACACGCTGGCACATCAGCAATTCAATCAACAGGATTTGAATCTTCAATTTGTTAATTGGAATAAGGAAGGGAACCAAGCGGTCATGTTGTGGGTGTCAGGACCTGGAACCAGCATCCCCCTCCTGAAATGGCTAGTACTCTCAAAGATGTTAACGTTCCATCCCTAGGCTAGTACTAGTAGCTAGTTTGATGATATTCCATCTACGTGCCAAAAGAAAAAAGTGGAAGTAATCATGAATTCCAAATTCAGAAGTCAAAACTAGGCAATGAATGCAGAACAACTTGAAGATAATGCAGGGAATAACAAACTAATGAGACTCCTAACTGGACCAGTCCAATGCATAAACATTATTAGTGCAATTTGAATAAGGCACACCAACAAAAAACCAACAAATATAGATTCTTAAATTTTTAGGTCAACAAGAGAAGATCTGATAAAATGAGTACAGCAACATAGTCGTCATTCATTACAATACAAATTCTACCTCCTGGCTTCCTGGGATATGTCAAAGATATAGGCAGAGGAAATTTTTGACTTCAAGCAATAGGAAATGAAAAACAAAGAACAAAAATTACTTCAAAATGAAACTCTGAAAAATGGAGTTTGTATGCAAATAAAAACCTTGTCAAGGACGAAAGGCACGGCCCAGATGAGGAAAGCAGCGGTGAGCAATCCCAAGCAAATGCATGCTAGAATCACCTTCGCCCACCACCAGAAAGATCTGCCCCAAAAGGATCTGCACCCAATAGGAGATGATGGAGACTCCGTCCTTTCCAATCCACCCGCTTCGCAATCATTCGAGCATTCCAATCTCACATAATCCCCATTTTCATCCCCCATCTGTAGCTTCATCTCCGGAACCACATCATCATCGGCATTGTATGTCATCTCTCCGGGGTATTCAAACCAAGCCCAATTTCTCAAATCCGAGAAAGCCAACAAAGAATTGAAATTTGGTAAAATGAAACTACTAAAAAATTAAAAAAAAATCCCCCAATAATATTAAAAACGAATGGGGAATTTAGTAGTTAGCCATGGTTCCTTGAATCTGCAATCGTTAGAGAAACCCTACAAGCGAAGAAACCCCAGAACAACAGCAAAACCTCCCCTTTTAATTGCCTCAAGGCTCAAGCAAGAGCACTTCAAGTACTCATAAAAACATCTCTTTCCTCCACTCCTGTAGATTGTAGAATAAGAAACCTTAGAAGCCAATTTGGTTCGATCAGAAACTGGAGTACGTTCAAGCTTCAAATGACCGAGACCGAATGACAGGTACAAGAATGTTTGACAAAATCACAAAATAATCGGAAGAAGCTGAACAGCCTGAACTGCTGAAGCACGAAAATAATCCTAGAGTAAATAAATAATAAATAAAAAGGTAGTCGGCCCAGTGCCAGACTGCCAGTGGTAGAATCCTCTTTCGGTGAGAGCTCCTCCAGGCAGGGATCTTCTACCAACAAAACGCTCCCAACAATGTCCCAAACTACCACTGCAGCTGTACATGGAAAGATGTTCCGAATGTGCGGCTGCAGTAAGCAGTTGGGGACAACCGTAACAGGAAAACGCAATAAACCCTATTGAACCGAAACGTTCCGCACGAAACGAAAGGTCGGGTGGATGCTTACGACGATATTGAATATCATCCCAATCACCATCCGGTAAAAGAACTCCGATTCCCGAAACGGCGATCCGCAATTCCACAGGTTTCGCGTACTGGAGTGGTGTATCGTGCAAGTGCCGCCACGTTTCGTGCTAAGAAACAATTGGCAAATGGAGGAAGTTTAGGCAAGATGACACAAATGAGTCACGGATTGACGTGGTTCAAACGGTCGAGTTGTAGTTGTTGTAATCTGTAGTCTCAGAGGCTCTGAGTCTGAGCTCTAATAAAAAAAGACCAATCCTAACGTCAAGTCGGTAGCGACTACGTGGCGTGCCAGCCGTTGACAAAGAATAAAGGAGAGAAGTGTGAAAGATAAATTTCTACTCTGGTCTATTACATATTGTTGCCACGTGGCAATAAGAATGGAATCATAACGTATCAGATGGTATTATACCTTTCCGGCATTTATTATCTCCCTTTTAAAAAAAATAATAATAATACCTCATTCTATTTATATATTATATCCATCGATTGCAAAAAAGAAAAAAAAAAAAAAAAATTGACGTCTTTCTTTTCGGTTGTTCCGAAAGAATTGAAATTGAGGCTTACCAAATCCCAAATACCGCATCTTCCTCTCACTTTCCTAATTTAAATATCTCAACACTCAATCCCATATTAAACCCTAAACCCTAATACATCTCAAAATCCCCCCACCTTATATGGCCCACTTTCCACAGGGAATAATCGACTTTTGTTTGTGGTGTAGGTCTTTAATGAGTTCATCGACAATTAATTCTAAAAACAAAAATAAAATATAGAAAATGATTTGATTCCATGCATCCTCTATTGCCAATTAGTGATAGATAAAAATCATTAAATTTCATTTACTTGTCGGTGAGTGAAAGATAATGCAGAATAGAATCTTTTTTATGTTACAAATCCAGCTATTTGTATTGATGAAGCTAGCTTACTGGTTTTCTCATTGCAAATGGTTGGTGTGGCCTAGGTCCTTGTCTAACGACCAAGTGGTCCTCCTGTCAGGGTATAAAGATAAGGCCGTAAGTGGGTCGATCAATCAACCCAAAGTCTCAAACCAATCCTTTTATATATATATATATATATAAGCCCCAGTTTTACATTTATATATATAAGCAAGGTTCAAAGTAATCCTCTTATATGGGTGTTTCAAGGTCTCGACTAGTTTAGGGGATGGATGTTAAACCAAACCTTCTGAATCAGATTTGAAAAAAATTAAAAACTAAAAAGAAAAAAAAAAACAGGTACCGATACACACCAATATGCCTCTATCGGTGTATCGATACTTTGAATCTCCATATACACACACATATATATATAGGTGTATGGGCACTTTGAACGATACTTCCCCTTTTTTTCTTAGTTGTTTTTTTTAGTTTTAGTTTTAAATATATTTTTTATATATATTATTTAAAAAAAAGAATGGATTCCTGAAAACACTTGTAAATAACTGTATTAGAAACCGAAAGATACAATTATATCATATAGAAATTTTGATTCTTGATTATGATGATATTTGGTGTTGGAATTGTTTCTTCTAAGGCATTTACACCATCTCAGTGATATGTGGGAATTTTGTTATCTCCTTCATTTTTTTTCTTACTGGTTTGTATATTTTCAAATCGTTTCAAGTAGTATTGGATTCTAAAGGTGAAAATGTTATTCTAACGTTTCTCACAATGAAAACAACTTATTTTTCACCTGTATAGCACCTAATAGCATTAAATAATAATATAAAACATACCTAAAACTAAAAATTATTTTATCGAATTTTAAAATAAAAAAAAAATGACAATGATATCAAACACCAATCATTTAATTCTGTTTTATTAATTGTTCCAAACTGATTATAATTGGATTGGATTGGATTGGCTTATAATTAAGCTAATAGCAATAAATGGGTTGCCGGGTTAAATAGGTGGATTGTAGCTCAACCCACACGGAAACCACTCAAATCCTCTCCTAGCATTTTTTTAAAAAACAAGGTATTCTTGGCCAACTTGAAAAACACGTTTGTTGATGGCACAACAATAAAAAAAAAAAAAGTACTTTGGATGTACCTAATATATTAATATGGTGTGATGTGATCAACCCAACTACATGACACAAGAATAACTTCTGCATTAGGTTTGGCCGTGTGCTTGTAACGGCCTATACCTCACTTCCCATGAATTTGCGGAATTGAAGGAATGGTTATTTAATTTAGGTATTGTTTGGAAAATTAATTTAGAATGATCTTCTAACAGTTCAAATGATTAAAAGACATAATAAGTTTTCAGAATGTTGTCTTTAAAGATAAAGACAGTTTGATAAACAGCTTGATTTATTGGGTTTTTAAAAACCCGTTTAAAAGTTATTTATTACATAGAAAGACCAGAAAGTTGCATATGAAAGCTTCCTGAAATTTGGTGTTTTCGGGTCTTTCCGTGTATGCATCTTCTTATCTTTCCATCTTTTGATTACCAAATGAGAAAAAACCGATTTTATGCCTTTTGAGCTTGTTGAAGCCCAAAAGACCATATAAAAATGCCACCGTAGTTAGTTGGTTGATCTTATTTTAAATGGAAAATTTTTTAACATTTTTAACTAGTGAAGGATTTGAATTGGGTGGTGGATTTGATGATTTGTGTATGATGAAAATTTTGAATTCTAGGTAGAATGATGGTTTCCACAGGTTAAAATAGGTATGTGTTTGGCATAGCTTCTGTTTATTAAATAAACATTTGTGCTTGATTTATCTTCAAAATTGAGAAAAAGTACTTGATAAATCATTTATTGACAACTAGGCGTCACATTAGCAAAACAGTGAATAGGCACTTAACTGTTGGGAAAAGCGTTAAAATGAAACTTCCCAAACAATTGACATGCATATAAATTAAAACCAACTTTTATCAATACCTATATGTACGAATCGACATGATAGAATAATTGTTGATTTGACGATGACATAACACTATTTATCAAATAAACAGAAGCCATACCAAACACCACCAAAGTTAATCATTCAATTAAGTGGTGTTACATAACAGGATATACACCTATTTCGTTTGGATTTTTGCATGCATCATGATAGACATGTTTTTTTTTTTAATTATTAGATATTATGATATATCACAAATTTTGGAGTATACCAAAATCTTGTATTTTAGAGTATATTTCACACATTGGATATATATTGAATAAATATTTATTTAATATGTATTAAAAAATATATTTCAAATCCCAATGGTTTAATTGATAAGGTCTTTTTTTATAAGAAAATGGGGGTAATGGGTACCGATATGGATTATCCCCATTGTGTAGTATCATTAAAAAAAACACCATAATGAAATTATCAAAGTTATGATGAATTTAAAAACCTATCATTTCAAATATACCAAGGTATGGCCCAATAACCAAGAATGCAACGTAGATAAAACTGTCACCAATGAATGTTTACGTCCCAGCCACTATTTGGACAGTCCAGAATCTCCAGATGAGTTGGAGACAAAATCATGCACACTGGGTTGAGTTATTTCTATCAGGAATAAATACGCTCGTGTTTAATACAGATGAAGCTCACAATAAATACTAGCATATTCAATCACGATAGATAACCCAGCCCAGCATGCATGATTTTTATCTCTAGCCAATCCTTTCTCCCATTTGGGTTGGATTTCTTTTCCGTGAATAACATATGTGCTGAATTAGAATTTAAGATTGTTGGGCTTTTGTTTTTTTTATGGCAAACCAGAAGCCCAGGTAAATGAGAGAGCAAAGTGGAAGAAAGGAATTCATATCTGCACCCTACAACGTCCCACAGCACATTCCCGTCGTGTATTGGGAACATCTTCCGATGATGACATCATCATTTTTAGTATTATCATCGGGAGATATTCCTAATACACAGCGGGGATGTGTTGTGGGACGTTGTGGGGTGCCCCCTTGTGGGGCACAGATGTGAATTGGAAAAAAAAAATGCTTAATTGTACATGACATAGGTATCGGATCCGATTATTTTTTGGTTTGGATAATCCGTTTGCACAATTGAATAATATTTTATTCATATTCCATTTGATTAAAAAATTCAAAGTTGATTATTATATTCTATATATAATTTATAATAATAAATTTATTATTATGTATAAGTTAAAAAATAATTAACTTCTTTTAGTTTTTTAGTTAAAAAATAATCCAATAAAATACCAAGATATTTCTAATGTGTTTGCTACAACAACAAAAAAAATCGTTTCAATGCGTTTCAACATGATCTGTGTTCGCAAATCGTACATACGATAAATTCCAATTTTATGATGTGTCCCAGTCTCATAAATGTGTGAATAAAAGTATGTTGAAACAGTTTTTTGCTGTGAACATATCCAACGTGTGAACTCCACTTATTATGTAGCCAAGAATAACATGACAATTGCCAAGTGCCAACATAAACATGGCGTGACTTGTTTTTTGCTGGTCCTAAAACCATTTTCCTGATATCACTCTTTCAAATCAAACATCATTTTCCCTTATTTGTTCCATTTGAAGAAGCATACAATTAGAAAGGTTGTGCTTTAGAGAAAAGGCTCATCATATGGAGTGGTGTGTAAGATGGGTGCCAATGCAGGGTGGGGCTGGGGTATAGATGCATGCCAAGCACATAATCCAACCCGAATACATAAAACGCCTTCATGTGAGTGGGTAATTTAGTTCGACCTGTCAACACTCGGACATGAGGATTGACCT